CATCGAGGATGAAGAGCAGAGATCCTGGTGCAGTGAACAGATCAGGAATAACATCCTTTAAGTGCCGGAACTTCTCTCCCAGTAGCTCCAACAAACTAATAGGAGCTTCAATTAGATTGAGCTCTCTGAAAGATAGATCAAAAATGCAGGTGAATTCACGCATGCTCTTTCCGATTGCCCATTCATAGACAAGCCTCTGGACCGCTACACTCTTTCCAATACCAGCAATACCCTTCACTTTAACCCTTTTAGGCGGTTGTCCTGTTGTCTCTTGAGGGCTCAGTAGTTGGCTTGGTCTAATGCGCTGACATGATTGGTGGACATAGATACGGGCTCGTCTGCTTGCCAAGTCAAAGTACTCATGTTGACTGCTGTCAGTGAAGTCGTTGTCCTCTGTCACAAAGAGGTCAGTATAGCGAATCTCAATGTGAGAAGCTGAGTTTGAAGCTTCTCCACTGCCCTCTGAGTAACACATCAGGTCCTCCATGCGGTTCAGTAAGGTTGTTTTGTGGATAGAAATTTGAGCTGGAATAGAACACGATATGTTAATTTTCTGAAATTTTGTTAATAAATTAGATTTCGCTGAACTTTCTTTTTAACATGATTTTTAATCATTGCATTTTCAAAATCAGACCAAGGCTTCTTTTAAAGATGATGATTATGCCCCAGTTTATTTTTCACAGCCAGTGACATATCTTGAAGCCATCACCATATATCACCTAAAAAGTCTCTGCCACTAGTTCTTATCAGCCCTAAATTAATCTCTAAAAAATTGTAGAAAACTGTAGTTCAAGGAGATTGTTTATCAACATAAATTACAGCATTTGTCACACTATCTTTGCAAACTGATGTTTTAATTCACTTTTGTTCATTGTTAGTCTTCTCAAATATGCCTCCAGCACAGAAAACTATTGTTTTGTGCTGAAGTTGGTGCATGGAGCACTGGATAAGCTCTGCAATTTTGTGATATACAAAATCTTTTTGTATTGTTTTGTACTTACCTTTTAGGTTAGCCACCCTTTGACTCCTTGTTGGTTTTAGATCTTTCTTACCTAATTAATGACAAATGTAGTAATCGGATCAATATAACATTGATATCAACATATCATTGCTTTAAAAAGTAAGTTTTAAAACTACTAAATTGCTTTATTGTAGGATTCTGGATTTAAATGGTATTAACAACAACACCAATATTCAGCAATGACATCAAAGGGAGCAAGTAGTCTTTGTTGCTAAATGTGTGACCAGATTTTATTTTTAGTTTATGAAGTTTTATGGCACTATCTCAAAGTAGACTACTACAAGAATTCCTTGCCTAAATAAATAATTATTTATTTAGGAAAATAAATAAATAATTAGTGCCTAAATAAAGAATTATTCAGACAAGAAACTATCTATACAAACAATGCATAGACACAATTTATGTGTCTATACATTTTGTATGGATACATTCATCCATACTAAATGTTTCCAGTACCAAAAACTGTGATTGTTATACTTAGTTAGCAGCAGTAGAAAGAAGTGTGGCTTTTCTATTTGAAAGTCCATTGGATCATACTCCTTTTCATTTTAAATTCTTGTATTAGTACTGGTATTTTCTCATACCCTGCTACACATGTCAAAAAGTATTTTGGTAGTACTTTGGTTCTTGTTATAAAATGTAATTCATACCTCTGATCTCTGGTGTTATGGAGAATCCTTTGTTCTTCCTTTTGAATAGTTTTGCAATGGGTCCTTTAGGTTTCTTGTGCTTATCTGTCACATAATTTATGTAAATAGACATATGTGACATATAGAATTAGTTGACTGTTAACATTAAGATCTGAATAGTTTCACATTTTCTGCTTACTTCACTTGAAAATCCACATTATTCCAAATTAATTTCATAGATATTGGTACGTCAAGTAAAGTGAAGTGAGTCATTGTTAACAAAGTTAACAAAGTGCTGCAGTGTTGAAATGCTCCACACAAAATCAACCTCAAACTTTACTAATGCACCACCTTTAAAATCATCAAATTGTGAAAGTCATATTATCAGTATAGTAAACAGCTAAATTAAGGTTAGAATGCAACAAGAAGACACAACCAAGTAAAATTAGTAAAATAGATTTTTGATTTATAAAAACAATAACTGAAAAAGCAAGAATATTCAGTTCAACTAGAAATCCAAGCTCAAGTATAGAAGTAGGTTAGTAAGGAGCAATAAAATGATTATTTGTGTTGTTCAAATGAGCAAAGGATTGAAACTACCAATGAGCAGTGGCTTCCCCAGAGGTTAAAATAAAGCCAGATTTTTACAAATGGACTGAAAGAACACCTGTTCCGCAGGAAAGATTTAAATTAGTTTAACGTTGTGCCTTTAATAACACAAGTGTTAAAGAAATAGTTTAGTTTGATGATGCGTTATCTGTGTGTGATTGCAAAAATTATCAAAAACGTCTTGGCAGAGCATCAAAGTTTGGCCAACTTTGATATCACTGACCAGTCAACAGCATAATCTACCTGTGCAAATATGACCTTACACAGTAAAATTTGCAATCATCATTTACCTCTACTTTAATTGTACATTAATGTAGCTTGAAAATACGACTCAGTCATGAGTAGCATTCCAAACCATCCTTACCTTCAGCTTCTACAACTTCAGATGGTGGTTGTTTGTTTGCAAAAGATCTACAGTGTCTATCAACCCAAATGTGCAGATCCTTGCAGTAATAATCTTGCACTTCTTTCAGCACCTGCAGGAACCGTTGACTGCTCTCCTCGGAGGCACATACTGTCTCCAGAGCCTGAGCCACAGCATCAGATGGGGGTTTTTCTAGTAAAGATAGGTAAAAGCTGGGAGAGAGCACCTCATCGTCATATAGCCAACGTAACAGAGGAGCTGGATGGTCGCAAGTCCAGTTCAGCAACAGTTCCCTCTGAGATCGAAGCAGCTCCTGAGCCGAGGACATGGTTTTGGAGAATACTGCCAAAATGTTGAGATTCAGTTCAAAACTTTCACATTAAGAGTCGTATTTTCTCTTACAAAGCTGAAATAGCAGACTTTTACTTTTAAATGATAGAGGTCTGCGCATTCTTCTAAAATCTTACCATAAAGTGTGGTGCTTTGTTTGTTATTATCTCCTCAGTCAGGTGAGTGTTGCTCCTCCTGCAACCCTCCCCTTTTTTGTGCTGAGATTTACAGCAACAGCAGTTAGCCTTTGTCTTAAGTAGTAGTTGAAGGTGGCAACTCTCCAAAGGTTCAATGTTCAGGGTTTTTCACCTGACTTAGCCTATTTGTTTTAGTTTAAATACGTGGAACAATGTTCTCATTTTCACCCACTAAACAAGAAAAGCAGTAAACATTCAGAATGTTTCTTGAACAGGCTTAGAAGATGGAGAAGGGCTTCCTGTTAAAATGCTCAAATAATATGTTTTTCTGCTGTTTATTTCTTTCAGCAGTGACCTACTTGCGTCTCTATATGATGCCAGATGACAAAACTTCAGTGTCAGACAGGTTAACTATTAATCATTTTGACATTGTTTTTGTAGTCTTATTGCTGTGGAACGTTTTTACAACTGTTTATCATCAACACTGGCGGTTTATTACAATACCTTGTAAAAGAATATGTATCCCTTGAACATTTTGACACAATGAAAAACATACCATTGTATTATAATTTTTGTAATAGACCAACAGATATTCTATTGTTTTTACAAATAAAAATCTGAAAAGTGTGGCTTTACTTTGATAAGTCTAAATAAAATCCATTGCAACCAGCCGACTGATATACCCTTCCTCTATGCAGTTTAATAACAATACAATTACAGTTATAAAATCAACTCCCCATAGAGCTGTGTTTAATTAAATGCAAGCCTCCTAAGACATGGCCATCCAGTTAAACAGATGGAAATCCTGAGCTTAACAAACACAATCTGTTCATAAGACAACTATTCTCATGATGCATACCACAACATTGACCTCCATGGAATAGTAAGGCAAAAAAAAAAAAATACCTGAACAGTCCTGTTTATTGCTTACTACAAAGCCAAAGCCAACAGGTGTAAAAGTTGCTCTTGTAAGGTGAGACCAAAATTATCTTCCTGCAAAATGCACTGGATGGCAGAATTCTATTCCTGTACATCACCTTAAATTCACCCTTACCTGTGTAAAATATGTTGGTGACAACCTCAGCAAGAAGCAAGGTGGAGCTTAGTTCATGTTAGTTCTTAGTTCTTAGTTTCAGGTTTTCCTGGAAGAAAACCTGCTAAACGTTGCAAACAACTCAGAACTAGGACTGAGATTTACCTTCAAAAATACAGCCAGAACCACAAAAGAGACTTAGTTCAAAGCATATTTGCAGGTTGGTATAGCTTAATTAAAATGAACATCCAAGTGAGAATATGTGACAATACTTGAAATTTGTGGGTGACAGATGCTCTACATCACATCTGATAGATCTTGAGCTGTTTTGTACAGAAACAATATAGTTTTACAAAGTATCGGCAGGGAGACTGAATAAAAATGCCCTTCAAACTTTTCAGATTTATATGCATAAAAACATCACACTGTTGCAGTACTTTGTGTTGATTTGTTAAATTACATTCAAATAAAACATGTTCACATTTACAATTGTAACATGTAAAAACAGGAGGAAAGAACTTGGCACATTTGGAGCCTTTAGGGAAATGACTAGCAGCATGAGAGTGACTCACTCCTTGTCATGTGTTGTCTTGCTGATGTCTTTCTTTCCGAAGCAAATAATTTCCACTTTTTTGGATATATTTTTAAAAATAAAATCGAAGTTGCTGTACGATTTAAAAGGAACTATTTTCTGGTTAGCAAGACAAAAATTCATATTAAAAATGTCATGGAAGATTCAAACAGTTTTCAAATAAACCATTTGTTAATAGCATTTGCATGGGTAGCTTGGTTGACAATGGTGACACAATGAAACAGGCCAACTTCCTCTTCTTTGCCCCTTTCATCCCCTTCCCCTGTCTGCTTGAAGAAAAGTGCTGCAGCCATGCATGGAGACACAAGCTTTTTTAAATGTCTCCAACTTATTGGTGAGTAGTGAATGAATTTATTACTATCTAGTGAGTGAATGTTCTTTTTGTAGAAATTCTAAATACTTTTATTGTTAGATAATGCGCATAATAAACTGATAAAATTAGTAATGTAGCTGGTTAAATAAGTCATGATTTGGTGAAATTTATTTTGCTTTACGTTGATATTTTCTGCAGTCTGCAGTGGATAAGGTGAACTTATTTTGTGAATTATGTTGTAAACTTTTCTGATTTCTATTTCATAGTACAGAGAATTAAATTCAAAATGGAACATATTATTTAGAAAATTGTAACTTGCACATGTATTTCCTTGAACAATGTGCAGAGTGGACACTTATTACTAGGGCTAAGGGTACAATTACGCTGTTCCTTTTTTCTATATATATCGATTGCACAACTATCTGGTGTTGGGGATGCAAAAAATTTCAATTAAATGTAATACTACGAACATTACATTGTCATTAATCAATGTGAGGAATTTCTATGGTTTATGAGTAATCATTCCCAAATACCAAAAAAGATTATTGTTTTACAACTGCTTGGCCATAGTCTTTTTTAAGTGTCCCCTTTAACTTATAATTATTCTAAAGTGAAATGGTAATTTTCTGCTTTATAAATAATTTTCTGTTCTTTATTAATGAAGCGGTCTTGTGGATGGGGGTCCAGGCTGTCTCGCCTGTACCCTCAGTGCCTGACCGTGTACAGGGTGTGGTTGGCTCCTGCATGGTGATTCCTTGCTCCTTCACACCTGGAGACCCTCATCCCATCCGGGGACGGAAGGAGAGGGTGGATGTGCGGCTCAGGTTCAGAGGTGGTGGGCCTTTTTTCCCTCTCAGGAGCACTGCTTTTAACAGTGAGAGCAAAGACCAAGTGAGCAGGGATTTCCTCGGCCGGACTTTGCTCTACGGCCAAGTGTCCGATGGAGACTGCTCAGTAAAGATAGAACAACTTAGAGCGGATGATCCAAAGGTGTTTGAACTGGCTCTCAAGAAAGGCAGTGATTTACTCTGGGGTGTGTCAAGGAGTGTAAATGTAGACATAATCGGTGAGTGACATAAAAATACTTTGCTCTGTCTGATTTTGTTTTATGGAAAGTAATAAAATTTTTTTGAGAGAATTACAGTTTAGAAGCTCATGAGAGACCGAAAATAAAATGTGCAGCTGTCGATGAAAATTATTGTAGTTTTACTGATATATTAATTGAACAAATTATAAAAGAGAAATTACATAGATGTTTTTTTTTCTTTTTTTCTTGCTGATAGACAACCCTGAGCCTCCTGTCATCAGCGGCATTTTGTCAGCCAAAGAAGGACAATTGGTCTCTCTGAACTGCTCCGTCAACTACCACTGTCCCTCCAGACCTCCGACCCTGCAGTGGAAGTGGGACCAAGGAGCCGAACTCAACAGCAGCGAGTTAGGAGAGCTACAAACACTCCACTCTGGTCCCCGCAAGTGGATGCTGCTGGCTTCTTTGTCTTTCATCGCATCCCATCAGGTGAAGCCCCGGCTCTGGTGTGCGGTTAAATATCCAGAAACCAAAATGTTAGCCACGGTGAACGACCTTCATGTGACATGTAAGCAAAACTATGGCCCTTATATCTTTGTTTCTTTGCTGAGTTTAATTTAACGTAATTTCTATTACCCATGCTTTTAGTTCCACCAGAAGATGTGAAGGTGGAGGTTCAGACACTGATCGTTCAGGAGGGGGGCAACGCCTTGCTTGTTTGCTCATGCAAAGCTGACCCTCCGGTGACAGAGTATCTCTGGTCCTACACTCAACACGGCCACACTGTGCACCTCCACCACCGATCGCACAGTCTGCGAGTGTTCAACGTGACCAAAGACATGAGAGTCCGCTGCTCAGCCAAGAACACCATTGGGCGAGGAGAATCCCAGCCCACTTCACTTAATATACAATGTAATTATATCCTTTATGCTACTTAATTGTTGCAATGTTTTGCTTTGACACCAAACACTTTGAAGAACAGAAAGATTGTTTTCTTAGAACCAGATGCTAGATTTTTCTGGTTTTAGGATGTTCATCTTTCTATTTTGTTTTGTTGGGTTTTGCACAGATGATACCTGCTTCACACTGACATATTGCACAAGTGGAACTCTTCCTGAGTGTCTTACTGGAATTCAATGAGATCCTACGAAATTCCCAACTTTTCACAAATGTTTGTGAAGCAGTTAGTACCTGTGGCCATGGAATTTCGAAACATCTGAATTCAATGATTTTAATAGAATAGGATAGAATAGAATAGAACTATCTTTTTTTGTCATACAGTAGGGAAATTTAAGCGTACGAGCAGCATGTTAAATTTAAAGGAAAGTGTTTATCTTTAACATTTCCATTTAAAGGTAAACACCTTAAGTGGAAAGGTAAACACTATAAATAGTAGACAAAAGATTTTTTATATGACACAGACTAAACAAAATGTTCAAAAGCGCAAGGTAATTTGGTGAACAATATGTCTATTTTTTGTACATAGAAAACAGCAAGAAACTATTTGAAAGAAATAAAGCTTCTATGCAAACAAATTTCTGCAATATTTTTGGCTCTATGTGACAATTGGGATAGAATACAACTGCAAACACTTACCTTTTGTTTCTTTTAGATAAGCCTTCCATCTCACTTCCCTCTTCCACCTGTGTTGTGGAGGATTCTGAGGTGCGCTGTCGCTGTTCAGTCGACTCCAACCCCAAGGCAGCTGTTACCTGGAGCGTCAATGGGACTGTTCCACCTTATGATTACAACGTGTCTGTAACATCAGAGCCCGACATGCTCACAGTGTTTCTGAGGGGATACATGGACAAACCATTGAGTGTAATCTGTTTTGCATTCAACGCACTTGGAAATGACTCCCTGGTTTTGCTGCAGGGGGAGGAAGGTATGCTGCTGTTCTTGCCACGCTAAGAAAAAACCCCATCTTCCTCTTGTTTTTCTTTCCATGTGATGCTGGTGTTGAACTATGTACACAACATTCCCACAGCCTATAAATGTTTTAAAAAATGAAGAAAACTCTGTAAACAAAAGCTTTAGGGATTTTGTTTTATGTCATAAAGTGGTCTTACTGGTTTCCTAAAGTATTACAGTGACTTACAGTAAAGCTTTATATGATGATGAATTTGCTTTTGTATTCAAGATCCTGGAACTGCATATGTGGTGTGGATCATTTTACCTGCTGTGGTCATCTCACTGTGTGTATGCCTTCTGTCCCTGCTTGTCTGCTTCTACCGAAGGAGAGCTAAAAGGTGTGTGTGAAACAGATTTACCTATAAAATGAAGATGTTATTTCTACATATAATACAAGGCTTTTGGTCTTCTCTCTTCTAGACACATCATGATCAGACATCAAGCTGTCTTCCCTGAAGGACTGGGAATTTATCAAAGCAGGATGCCTCTCTACATTAACTGCTCTGAAGTGACAAATGTTTACACCAATGGAAGCTACCAGCTTGTGTACCAGAACTCCACACCTGTTTTTGTCCATACAAAGCAGGTATTATATATTTTGATTCTTTAAAAAAAAGGTCATGTTTAATGGGAGATACATCCCAATGTTTTATTTTATTTTATTTTTTTACATACTGTCCACTTTATATTTCAGTAATTTACCTGTTTTTCAGGTCCGTCCAATGGGCCGAAGAGGTGGGGAGAGGAGAAGAGGAAGAGATGTTGCTAGAAGAGATAGAGGAGCCGGTGTGGGACTCAGGACTACATCAGAGGTCCAAAGTGCTTCTCCAGATGATCCAGACACAGCCATCTATGTAGAGATTCTATGAATTTTAAAACACACACAAAAAAATGACTGGAAATAGATTTTCTAATGTGTGGGACAATTGTGCCAGCGTTACTTCCTATCTGCAATGTATATAGTGTTCAATACTGTGACGTATGGGTTTTCTGAATTTTTTTCAAGGAAGAGTTATTTTCCTGCTAAAGTTTTATTTTCTTAAGTCTGCAATCTAAGAATATGATATTCTTTACTTACACTATACTTTAAATATTCTTGTGAATGTTTTTGTTTTTTAAACATCGATCAATGTTTGAATTCTAAAAGGACAGCAAATAATAAAAATTAAACTATGACCATTAACATTCAGTTTATTGTTATGTGGATATATTTTTATTATTATTTTTAAGGGATTTGAGGCAGAGGCCAAAAAAATATGATTATGCTGCCAGAAAGTAGCATGTCCAGGTAGCATTGAGACATTCGTTCCTTCCCATGGGTTGTCCTTCCCATGGGTTGTGGACCCATGTAGCGTAGTGATATCTGGCCAAGTCCCAGGAGAAACAGACCAACTACCAGGTATTTCACTGCAAGCTTGTTTCTCCAGAATTGTCTCCAGGATGGTCCTAGCCATATTTCTTGTAATTGTGGTCTACTATTCATGAAAATCATCAAATCACTCTTGCTCTGACCTCTCCCCTGAGGGTAATTTACCATGGGTAACCCTAACTGGAGCCAAAGTCTTCGAAAACAATCATCCTGTGGTATTTCAAACCTTCTACCATGTAAAGGTCTCAACTATGAAAAAAAGCAATTTTTTTCCATCAGATCAGCTATTTTCCTTGAACATATGAATTCAAGTTATCTGAGTAAAAATAGGACGAGGTAGGAGTCAGATGACTACAACTTTAGAACTTCATCTCCTGTAATGATTATACTAATTTGGTCCATTATGGAAAAAAGAAGATACGTTAAAAAGTAAGCACTTGAATGTTTAGTTTGCCAGTTCATCTACATTCCAGCCATCAAATATGGTCACAGAATGTGGAACGTTACTGAAATCTCCTTCTTGCAATTTTTTAGCTATGTTTCAGTGGGACATTTTGAGGAATATTTTGAACTCTGGATTATATTTCCCTTCTGGCCTTGACATGCATTGAGATGCCCCAGAATCAGTAATTTTCTATTATTGACTAATTTTGCTGCTTTCCACTTTCTGTATGAGCTCGCCTCAGCATTATGAGACTGGTTTGAATTGAAACAAAAACATTAGGCAAAGCGCAACCTCATTTAATAATAATATACAACAACTTACATAAAATGAAAAAAAAAATTAACACGCATGTTTTTCTCCGCATCATAGAGAAGTAAAAATATATCCACATTTTATTCCACTTCGAAACTTTTCTGACTTAGAAAATGCATACGTTCCACCACTTGGTGGCGAATTAACTGCATGGTGAGCTAATTTTGCAGTAGAAGAAGAACGTGAAGTTCTCATTGGTTAGAGACGCCTAGAGTCGGAAGTTACGACACATTGACATTTGCAGCCTTTTGGTGGGAAAATGAGTGCTCACTTGCGCATATTTAACGTTACATTCAAGTGGTCGTTATATAAATCGAGATATTTACTGTAGCGATAAAAGTATTGTATTAAATGTGAAGCATAAAACACCGTGGGAGATTATTGCGCTGCAGCCTTTCAGACGTGTTGAATGATCCGACACATGCGGGGAAGTTCACTGTCTTTTGTTTACTAGCATGCTATCTGGTTAGTCAGGAGTCGTTTATTTGCTGTTCTGCAGCAAAGTGAGTTTATTGTAAAGTCACGAAAAGCAGTCTGGGTGTGTTTTAGGGTTAGGCTGTACGTCGTATTTTATAAAAACGCCCGGTTGACGGAAATTAACTGGAAATTAATCGCGTTTCGAAAAACAACAAGACAAGCATGCCAGAAATTCAACTCAAGCATGTAATTTCTTGCTCCACCGAGGACAGCGTAAGTTGTTTTATGTCATTATGTTCGTGAAGTTAGCTGCGCTTTGCCTAATGTTTTTGTTTCAATTCAAACCAGACTCATAAAGCAGACAACCTGCTGAGCTCAGACACATACAGAAAGTGGAAAGCAGCAAAACCCGGTGAGAAGCAGACGTCCGTCATCCTTCAGGTTTGTTTTGACACAAAATATTCGGGTGTTTGTTTCTTTTTATTCTTTCTGTGATATTTTAGGATAATAAATACTTATCATTTATCTTAATTAACAACTTGTACGTTCACAAATAGCTCAGCGACCAGTGCCTACTAAAAACTCCCAAATATCTCTAAATGAAAAAATATTCTTGATAAGTTTTTTCCCCATTCCTATTAGCCATAATTTTTGACATTATACAAACTAAATTATTGTTTAAAATGACGTTTCACCAAATTAGCGTAGAGATACAACCTGTTTTATTAGTAATAAACTAAACAAAAGATAAAAAGGGAACATTGTAATGATGGAAAACAAGTAGAACAGCGAGTGAATCTGGATCAACAATAATATTGCAATTGCGTGTTTTCCTAAGATGTGGAATTCTTTGCAGCTGGATTTCTGTAAATTGCTTTATGCTGGATGTTAGAAATCTTAAATCTAATCGCATAGATTTTCTAAAATGCAGGTTTGCTCCTTCGGGGAGAAATGAACACTCAAAGCAGGTCCAACCTGTGCTAGCACATTAAGTTCACAGGTCAAATGTTAGACACACCTCGATCCACTATCAACAGAAAAGTTCCAGGGGCATCTCAGAGGTAATGCCAAACCTGAATTTAGAGCTGCCCAAAAGTAATTATAATAATATTATTTCTAATAATGCAATTAGTTTTAGCTATACTGAACGGTTCTGAGCCCCACCTCCCTTTATTTTTTAATTTTTTGACAACTTGCCATGTTTATTTTACTCATTTTAATACTTATTTTTATCAGGATATGTTATTTAGCAAAATAACTTATAAAAAACACTTCTTTTACCAGTAAGTAACAGTACATTTTTTAAAATGTGGTTTCACTCTTTCCCTCTCAAGTAGAGGTCCACAAATACAGTTCACTTGTAGAGCAGCCAATTTGAGATCTTTAATGCTGATTATGACATTTAGCCGATTCAACACTTTTTCCAGTTATTTTGGGTATAAAATAGGACTTTGCAACAGTTAGTTTTTTTCCTGTGATAAAATATTGTGTGTTTACAAACTCAAATGAGTAGTGATGCTAAATAACCAAGTTTCTTCATTTTGATTGAAAGTGTTTGACTGTAATAATTTCCAGTCATAAGACTCTGGGGTTGAACATCTTTGTACTGTGAGGCTGACGCAGCAGTCAGTTTATTGACTCTTTACGACATATCTTCTTTATTTCCCTCCGAGAGCTGTCTCATGTTGTATTTACTTTTTCTCCAGTTTGAAAAAGAGGAGCAAGTCCACAGTATTGATATTGGGAATGAAGGATCAGCTTTCATCGAGGTGTTGGTTGGAAATTCTTCAGCTGTCAAAGACCAGGACTATGAGGTTTTTGTCACAAATCACACTGTGACAGTTTTCACTTCCTAACCATTTTAATCTTTGCTTAATTAAAAAAAGAATAAAAAAATTACTCCTTTTTAACTTTGCTGCTTTCTTTTTCTATCTCCCTCACTTTCTCTCAGGTTCTTCTCGTCACATCTTCCTTCATGTCCCCCACTGAGAGCCGTAATGGCACCAACATGAACCGGGTTCGTTTCTTCGGACCCAACCAGCTGCAGAAGAGCACCTCTCAGGAGAAGTGGGACAGGGTGAAAATTGTGTGTTCCCAGCCGTACAGCAAGGTGAGGAACTCAGTGATTTCAAATCAGCTGACATATCACTTTTAGGTGACAGCAAATTTATTGGTTGTATATTTTTTCCCAAGTAGAGATGGTGGTAGGGATTCAATATTCATAAAAGGAAGCATCAGATCCACTGTGTAGCACCATAAATCCTTTTGACGCTTACAAAATATGGCACAACAAATTTCTGAGCCTTTAAATAAAAAGGTGTTTTTTGTGGATAAAGTCAACAGTACAGCCTGGGAATTGAAATGTTTTTTACAGGAGTCTTTTTCCTTTGTATGTTTATCTAGAATTTAAGCTTCACACAAGTTCTTTTAACATAATAATGTGTATTGGTGCTATCTTTTGCACTTTACAGAACATTGCATATGGCCTTGCTTTTGTCAAGTTCCACTCACCGCCTGATAAAACCGATCCTCCGACCTCCTCCCCTGTAAGTCATCCACTGTGGTGCTCCATTTTAATCATTGCTATACAAATAACTGCCTAAATGAGGATAAAACAACAGAACTTTGCTTTATGTATAAAAATACATGTTTCTGGTCTGAAGTCACAGACACATCATCACATTATCTTAAATTACACAGTATTTTTTTTCTAATAGCTGTAATACATCACATAGCATTTATTATTTTGTAACCGATTAGTCGCCAACAAACCAGTAAATGTAGCTGTAACTCGCCATTATCATTGGGCAGGTTGTGTGTATGCATGTGTGCGTGCGCGTGTGCGTGGGAGTGTGCATGTGCGTATAAGTGCTGTATGAAATTAAACATGAATTTCTTAACATTTTGATTTTTTTGTGAAACATTTTGTAGTTTAATTTTCTGTCGAGATTTTAAAAGCATTTTCTGATAAATTGGAAATGTGTTCATTTATGTGATACAATGGTGCCATCGAGTCTCCATGACAACCATTAAATGCCATCAGCACGCAGTTGTCAAAAAGAAATATAAAAAAAGCTTAGACTCCTTGGATTAGCATTTTGAATAAATATGTGGACTGGTCCACATTTTCACTGATAAGTACGGTGGAGGATCTGTGATGCTGTGGGCCTGTTCCTCTTCTGAAGGCTTTGTAAGAGTGCAAGTAATTTCAGGATATTGTTCAAAATCTCGTGGACTCTAGCATTAAAAGGATTGTTGGCTCTTTTGTTGGAGGGTGTGTTAATCTAATATAAACGACCAAATCAATACAAGAATGCTTCTGGTGCCCCAAAATAAACGTTATCCTTGGATACCCCATAAATACGATAGATAGGCAGTGTTGTATTGGTAAAGGACGTTTCTGCAGAGTAATGACAGCAGGTTAGACAATAATTGTGCCACCAGTGATTGAAAAAAAAAAAAAACTAAACACCCACAAAGCTGGCATGGAGGGATTTGATTTAAATGTAGGGTGAGCTCAGTTGGAAGTGTTGAACTATGAAATCATTTGTCAGATTGAAGGCCTCCTTTTAGTTGGAAAAAAAAATTACTTCATTCAGTC